ATTTGTTTAATTATTAATTGTTTAGTTGATTTTTTTGTGTTAATTAAATTATATGTATGTGGATGTTCATTAATTGTTTAAATTAATTTATTTGTGTAACTTGCATTATTTGTTTAATTGTAACTATAAGATAGGTGACTGGAATTAAATGTTTAAATTAATTGTTTAAATTAAAGTGTTTAATTTTGTTTAAGGATGGGATTGGATGGTATGGATTAAATGGGTACAGTTAATACCCATGGATGCTTATGCGTGTATATATGGATATATATGTATATGTGGATTGGGTTACTTATTGGTAATTATTGGTAATTAAATTAGTATTTTAATTATTATATAATATATATTATGATATTAGGGTTTTATATCTTTTTACGGGGTTAGCCGACTTAATTATGTTTTAGTGTATTTTCTTTTCTTTTCCTTCTCTAGTTATAATTTGAATTAGGGTTGGGTATGTATATAAATATAACATTAGCTTTGGAGTTCAGTTTAGTTGTTTACATTTCAGTTTGGGATTTTTAGTAGGGGTCTACTAGAGATAGATTCCCGAGTTGTTTAAGTATTAGAGGTTTTGGAAAGTTTTGGGATTATTGGATTTTTATTATTTAATTTTGAGGATTATATTTTAGAATTCTTTCAGCTTTTATTATTTTATTTCTTAATTCATTTTGTATTCTGTGTTCATTTAAATATTAATTGTCTGGTATCCCTCGGATCTGTGCTGGGACTTGATCACCCGTAACTCTAGAATCATGGGGTATCATAGTTTAGGCCTTGCTTTACTGTTTTTGCAAGAGGCCTGAAGGTATCCTAACATGTGAAGGAATTAATAGTACAAGTCCTGTTAACCTCTTCAGATTTCTCAGTGAAAGAGGTCATATGATAGGTTGATATGCTTTCAAAAACATTTCCCTATGGTAGTAGGGATGCAGATAATCCTCTCAGTTGAACCTTTTCCTAGTAATGCAAGCCATTGCATACACGCAAAGCACTCCTGTAATCTGCCACTCCTTGCATATGCATGTCTTTTTATCCAAGTCCACACTATCATTCATTCCTTCAAACTGAACCTATAAATATATAGCCCAGATCCATACCACTGACACCTCTTTGCTTTTTCCTTGAGGTCCTTGAACTGCTCATACACTTTGGAACTAACAACCCTGTTTGAGCTTTCATGTACTCTCTCTTCTCTTCATACCTTTTCATCAACATTTTTCTAATCATTTCAAACATGTGGATTATTGGTTTCTCCCTTGCAGTTTTGATGTGTCCATTCCATGACTTACACATGTTATTGCTACATAAATCACACTTTGATTTTTTTGTGAACTTATGCTTGGACCACAACCTAGTATCAATTTTTTTCAACCATGCATGTGCTTCTTGGTTCAAACTCTTGATGATGTCCATTTCCTTCTCAAAATCGCCCACATGGAATGCACTTGCTGCATTCCACACTCCTTTCATTAACCTTACATCAGGGTATTTTTTCTTGAAGTTATCATAAATATGCCTTACACAATATCTGTGATCTGCACCAGGAAGCATCTTTTCAAACACCTCAACAAGTCCTTTTTGCCTATCTAAAATCTATGTTATCCCATGATAATCACCAATAACATCCAATAGCTACTCCATGAACCACTCCCAACTATCATTATTTTCAGCATCAACAACTGCAAGTGTTATTGCGTAGAAACTTTTGTCTCCATCTCTACCAACAGCACTGAGTAATTTCCCTTTGTATGGAGTTTTTAAGAAAGTTCCATCTAGTCCAATGAAAGGCCTGCACCCTTCCTTAAAGCCCTTCATCATTGCATCAAATGACATACGCCTGGGGATTACCACTATGCATTTTTCCAATCCGTAAAATAGAATGATTGAAAACCTATCATGCATGCAAAGGGATACCAACAGAAGCAATTCCTTACATGCATGCACATACAACAAAAATAGAGCTCTAGACTAACATATGTCATACACACAAATAATGAAAACCTTAAATCTGCTAAACCCTAACCATTAACGTGGAGACTATAACTGTGCAAATTGGCCGCATTCAAAACCCACGAATAAAAAATCATAAGAAATTTTATACACGTACACAAAATCAAACTAAAATAACACCATATTAGATTCATTAGATGTAATTAACAGTAAAAATTAGAACTGACAATACAAAATCCTAATTAACAATATAAAGCCCTAATTAACGATACAAAACTCTAAGCGAAAGCAAAAAAATAAATTGTTAACCTTAGAGGGACAGACACAGAGATTGATTTTTTTACCTTATTAGAGCAACAGAGATGATTGTTAGTCCAAGACTAGAGAGTGAGTTTCAGTGAGAGGAAGAGAGTGAAGATCGTCTCGTTCATGTTTTCAGAGAGGGATTGAATAGAGAATGACAGTCTAAGGCTTTGTTTGGTACGGTGGGTTTGAAGGGGAAGGATAACATTAGTTATGAGGTTAGTTATGAGGGAAAGGGAAGGGAAGGAAAAAGAAGGATAATTTTAAACCTCCATTAATGAAGGAAAAGAAAAGGTAGGACAATAATTATGTTTGGAAAAAGAAAAGAAAAGAAATGGAAAGGAATTATTTTAACATATGAACTATTATACCCCTTTATATATATATATATATATATATATATATATATATATATAGTTTCATGTGCTTGCCAAAAAAAATAATAATAAATAAATAAATAAATAAAAATTAGGGCAAATCATTTCAGCCTCCCTAATCCTCCATCTCTATTATATATATATATATATATATATAAAGTCTTTAACTTGAGGCCATAAGAAAAGAAAAATAAAAAAATAGGGCAAAGCCTCCCCAATCTCGCTCCATCTCTGCAACTCCTTCTCAACACTGAACTTGGCCTCTCTCTCTCTCTCTCTCTCTCTACAAGAATCAGAAATTCAAAACCCATATATTTCCAGTTTATCTATTTGTTTGCAAGAATCAAAAGTTCAAACCCGTATCGATGTATCATTTCAGATTGTTCAGAAAATCCAAAACCCATATCTTTCAGTTTCCATGGCTGCTGTTCCAGTTCGGGTCGCCGTTCCAAGCTTCAATCACCGGCGGTCTCTCTCTCTCTCTGCAATCTTGAGGGTAAAATTGGCATCTGAAATCACCCATCAAGCCTCTCCTTCCCTTTCCCTTCATTTCCTCCCATTTTTGGGAGGTTAAGAAATCTACTGTTGAAGGCACAAGCTAACCCTCCAAACCCTTCCCTTCACTTCCCTTTCCTTCCAACAATTTTTGCCAAACACACATTTTTAATCCCCCTCCATCACCTTCCCTTCCCTTTCCTCCCTTTTCTACTCTACCAAACTGACCCTAAGATCGTTCATGACAGCGACTGAGGGGGAGCGTAGTGGATGGTGTCTAAGGCTTTAATTTGGGCGTGTTTGGTGGTACCTATAGGTTTGGGTGTGCTTGGCCTTAGGTGTAAGGAATACATGAATAAGTAAAATATTGTTAGGTTATAACTTTAAGGATAATTTTGGCATTTAGCTTTTATTTATTTTTTATTTATTTATTTATTTTTTTTAAAATGATAAAGTGAGATTAATTTAGTACTTTAAGCATCAAAATTATGATTTGTCTTTATTTGCACAAATTAAAAACATTAGGGGAGTTTTACGAACAATAGGGGGTAATTGCACATTTGATATATTGTAGAGTTTTTTTTGCACTTAACCCTATATATATTTACAATTGTGTCACGATTATATTCCTGTAAATGGGCTTTTGGTTATATATATATATTATTATGTGTGTACTATCAAATTTTTGAGGGGGCAATAATACAAATATAAAAAACTTTCCATATAAAATTTAAAAAAATTAAAAGTTCAGTGGGGCAGTTGCCTCCACTTGTTCCTTTGTGACAACGCCACTCTTTCCTATTTGTCTTCTTAATGTAACTTTGGAGTATAATTTACAATAAAATAAATATTTCATTTATTATTTAAACAAAGGCAAAAATGGTATTATATTATTTTTATTTAAAATTTCATTTTAAATCCAATTTGTTCCAAACATATAAATAAAATTTCATTTTAATTTCAATTCCTATTTCAATTTAGAATCTTTTTTCAAATCCTAAAATAATTGATTAGTGTTCGAGAAACTTGCAAAACCCTCTTTGGTTCTTCGTTTCTCTCTCGTCTCTCTCAAAACAGCAGGAGTGGGAGTAGGAGTCTTTGAGTTGGATATATTTTATAAATATATGGGGTTATCTGTTATAATTCATTAATGGTGACCAGAACGGTACAAAAATTATTACATAGCCTGGACGTAATGCCTTGCAACCACATAATTACAAATGAGATTTGATAATTATAAAATTTTAAATATCTTTTTAATTTTGTCTTAAATTCAGTTTAAAAGGTTAGGATTTAATTGGATAAATATTTATTAATTATATATTTCTTTAATTAACCTTCCAAGTCTTATTAAGCCCTGTTCTATTAAATATCTACTATCATATTTTAATCTTTTTTGTCCTCGATCTTTATATAATAATACCATTGTTTTAATGTGCATATCTATATGTTTTTCTCTGTAAGCATATTCATTTTTTTTTATTTTTTTGGTATACTTCAATATCTTAAATTGCGTTAAAGTTATGAAATTTTGAGTAAGATATCAATTTTACCACATTTTTGTATTCTTATACTTAAAAAATATAAAATACTAATTTTATAACCAAAAGACATACTCCAATTACCACTTTTGCATTCTTGTATTTGAAAAATCTATAATACAGAATTACTCCAATCTTCTCTATATATATATATATATTTTTTGTTTTGCCTTCTTAATTTAATTTTAGAGTATATTTTACAATAAAATAAATATTTTATTTATTATTTAAACAAAGACAAAAATAATATTATATTATTTTTATTCAAAATTTCATTTTAAATTCAATTTATTCCAAACATATAAATAGAATTTCATTTTAGGTTCTTTTCCAAATCCTAAAATAATTCATTCCAAACAAAGCGAGTGTTCGCAGAAACTTGCAAAACCCTCTTTGGTGCTTCGTTTCTCTCTTTTGTTTCTTTCGCTATAACATTGTAGTGGCAGTGGGAATAGGAGTCTTCGATTTAGAGAAGTAGAGAGAGAAGATGCCAGGGGCAACAATGGAGATGGAACCAGTGGAGCCACAATCTCTGAAGAAGCTCAGTTTCAAATCCCTAAAGCGAGCTCTCGATCTCTTCTCTCCTCTCCATGGCCACTTAGCCCCACCTGACTCTGAGAGGTGTTGTAACAACCATCGATCTATCTCTCTTTTTCTGTTTATCTATCTATATATCTCTCTCTATATATTTTGTATTACGCATATATGCATATATGCTTGTAGAGAGGAGGTTATTGAAAATTATTCCCTCCCCGTCTTCCTTTCTTAACCCTAATTTTGGTGTTAATTGTAATTAATAATAGTTTGATATTCCTAATTCGATTGTAGCGTCTTTCTTACTTCAATTCCTGATGCATTCAACATTATTTACTGAATGGACGTTTTTTTATTTTATTTTTATTTTTGGGTGCAGTAAGAAGATACGCATGAGCCATAAGGTTAGTGATCATAAATTAATTCATCAATTTATGCATTTTTGGTTTTTAGAATATTTGTGACAGCTTAGATTGTTTGTGAAATTATTATTATCTTTATCTGGAGCAAGATTTTATAAGTTGGGTATATTAATTAGACAAGTTTGGTGATGAAACTTTTGAAATTTATTTATTTATTTATTTTTTTCCAATAATAGTATTTAGTTCGTCAAACCATATAGTATTTGTTCTTTGGCTTTTGTATGTTTGTGTCTTTTATAACGGGAATAAAATTTTAATGTTGAAGCTCAATATGGAGTATGGAGGGATAAAAACCACAGAGACCCAGCTTCCTGCCCAAGCGAAGTCAGCTGCACAAGATCAATCTCAGCAAACTCCATCCAATGCTCTTGCCCTTCCAGGTTCCTAAAATTATTATTGTTATTAGCAGTAAACTATCTGTAGTCCAAAAAGGGAAAAAGGTAAAGGAAATTTTCTTGGGTGATAGAAGAGATTTATTTTAGGAGACATTGCTTGGTACAGTGGTAAAGGCCCAGGCCTGACAAGCATGATAATGTCGGCTCGAGTTTGAGAGCAGCCACATTCTAGTCTGTACAAAATAATGTCGAAGGTTTTCCGTCTCCAATGTTTCCTCCTATCACCCTGCATATGCAGTACTGGCACCGGACATGAAAATAGATTTTAAAAGGATTGGTGGGAGAATTAGGGAATGAATATTCTGTTATTTAAAAAAAAAAAAAAATCTTTATCAAGTTGAGACATTGCTTTATGGTTAATTAAGGTTTTCAAATTTTTGTTTTTTAATAATTAACTAAGGTCTTAAAAAACTTTTACTATTATTAGATCACCTCGATACTAGATTTTTGGTTTTGGGTTCAAAGAAGTTGAATGGGTGTAGATTTAGGTTTTTATATGAAGTTAACCAAAGTCAAAACCAAAGGATTTCTCAAAACAACTGCTTTCGTTATCTAGGATCGATACTAGAAAAGGATGGAGAATAGAAAAGGATGGAGAGATAGATAGTGATGTAACTAGTAGAATTGGTCCAAGTTGGACAAAATGGAGGCAACCTAGTGGAATTTTATGTGATAAAGGAATAACACATAGGCTAAAAGGAAAATTCTATAGGACTATTATGAGACCAACTATGTTGTATGGAGCGGAGTGTTGTGCCCTAAAAAAGAAACAAGAACAACGGGGGAATTTTCCGCAATGGGCGAAAGCCTGACGGAGCAATGCCGCGTGGAGGCTTCATGTAGCGGAAATGAGAATGTTAAGATAAATGATTGGAGTGACTGGAAGAGGAACGGTCACTAATGAGAGTGTGAGAGGAAAACTAGGTGTAGCACCCTTCGATGGGAATATTCGAGAGAGTAGGCTTAGATGATTTGGACATGTATATCGGAGACCTAGTAACGCACTGGTCAAATGAGAAAAACTAGTTGCAATAGAGGGAGAGACGGAGAGGGAGGCCAAAAATAACATGGGATGAGGTTATTAAAAATGATTTTAAAAAGTTAAAAATAGTAGTGAATTAGCATGTAATAGAAAAGATTTGAGAGAGAATGCATGTGAAACAATACAAATGAAACTATACACACGTTCTAATAGATCATGATATTTAGGTCAACTAGTTGGGCCTATTTGTCAAAGTGAAACAATTAAGGCTAATTCAATTATGGCCATTGATGGCCTGAATTGTTTCACTTTGACAAATAGGCCTAACTAGTAGGCCTGAATATCATTATTTTTGTTTTCTGATAATTAACTAAGGTCTTAAAAAACTTTTACTACTATTAGATCACCTCGATACTAGATTTTTGGTTTTGGGTTCAAAGAAGTTGAATGGGTGTAGATTTAGGTTTTTATATGAAGTTAACCAAAGTCAAAACCAAAGGATTTCTCAAAACAACTGCTTTCGTTATCTAGGATCGATAATAGAAAAGGATGGAGAGATAGATAGGGATGTAACTAGTAGAATTGGTCCAGGTTGGACAAAATGGAGGCAACCTAGTGGAATTTTATGTGATAAAGGAATAACACATAGGCTAAAAGGAAAATTCGATAGGACTATTATTAGACCAACTATGTTGTATGGAGCGGAGTGTTGTGCCCTAAAAAAGAAACAAGAACAATGGCTTCATGTAGCGGAAATGAGAATGTTAAGATAAATGAGTGGAGTGACTAGAAGAGATACAGTCGCTAATGAGAGTGTGAGAGGAAAACTAGGTGTAGCACCCATCGATGGGAATATTCGAGAGAGTAGGCTTAGATGATTTGGACATGTATATCGAAGACCTAGTAACGCACTGGTCAAATGAGGAAAACTACTTGCAATAGAGGGAGAGACGGAGAGAGAGGCCAAAAATAACATGGGATGAGGTTATTAAAAATGATTTAAAAAAGTTAAAAATAGTAGTGAATTAGCATGTAATAGGAAAAAGATATGAGAGAGAATGCAATTGAAACAATACAAATGAAACTACACACATGTTCTAATAGATCATGATATTCAGGCCAACTAGTTGGGCCTATTTGTCAAAGTGAAACAATTAAGGCCAATTCAGTTATGGCCATTGATGGCCTGAATTGTTTCACTTTGACAAATAGGCCTAACTAGTAGGCCTGAATATCATTTTCCCGTTGAAATATTATGAAACTATATGGGCACAAATTCTTTTGTAAAAACTTCCAGTTTTTTGCCCTTCGTTTTGGGGTTTTCAGGGGTAGTGCGGCCGTGCGCGGGGGGTGGGGGTGGTGGGGGGCGCTGGGGTGTCCAAACTATATATAGTTCTGCCACGGCATGTTAGAGGGGTTGGAGGAAATTGGGAGGCTGGTTCTTTTAACAAAAAATGCAAACACATATAGGGAGGCTGGTTCTTTTTAACATTGAAGCTCAACCAGTCATTGAGGTGCAATTAGTTTGATATTGAATTTTGCTGGTTTTAGTTTCAAAATAGTACAACAGTAAGATGGGGATACATTTGTGCCACTTTATAAATGAAATTTTGGAAAAGGCAAGTCATTTTTAGTAATTAGTAAGCAATCCAGTGTCACCTGAAACATGGGAACCTTTGAGACATAGCATCCTATATTAGCTTTTGTACAGTGGGCATATATTGATTATGAGGTATGAAAATGTGTTCCAGTATGTAGTTCTCTAGCATATTATTGTTGCTGTTTCAACTTTTAGCAATTCACATTTACAGTAAACACTTAAAAAAAAAATTTCAATAGAATTTCTTAAAATTTAACATTTTTGGTGGTTTAATCAGATTGTTCCACTATAATAACTAGATGTGGGGTTAAAAAGGGTTATTTTTATTTCTTTACTCATTGATCAGCCTCGTCAATATATAAATTTTCCTTTGCTTTTCGTATGATATGGAATTGAAAGTTAGAAGACGAGTTGCATCCTGTCTTTTTAAATTTTGACATTATAAAATGCTAAAGAGGTTTACATTCAAGTTTCTAAATCTGTTGACTTAGATCTGGATTTTATGTACAGGTGCGGACAACTCTAGAGATTCGCAAAAGGGAAGGGACCAAAATGATTTAGTTGTTGGTCCGTCTCTGCAATCAAAGGGATTGTACGTATGCATACTTATTTATGTTGTTTTAGAGGGTTATGCGAATATATTTCTGGTTCTGTTGATTTCCTGCGTTCCCTCCTTACTCATTGATACTTCACTCATGCCCTCTATGTCCAACTTTTTGAATTTGCTTCCCAGCATTTTGGCTACTTTTAGATGTTAATCATCCAAAACGATCTTTTATCTTAGCTGACCCTTATTTACCTTCCATGGGGAGATTTATGCTATAACCCCGACAGTGTGGCTATTGCCTATTACTAAAAAGAAAATAAAGTTTATGACTATTCAAGATATTGAGCTTAGACATGCAGAACTCTTATTTCTATTTGTTTTGCATGCTTGTTATCATTCCATTAATACAAACAACTTTTGCTGTTGGGCTGACTGTTGCTTATTTTTGGCAGAACTGATGTTGGTTTTTCAGGCAAGAACACTGCTGTTGTTTCTACTCCTGGTTCATCTGAAAGGTCTTAGGCTTTTCTCCTTTCTTTTCTTTTTCTGTTGTCCTTATAGTAAATGCTTGATGTGAGAAACTTGCTTCCTTTCGTTATCATGCATTAATTTCATGCCTTATGGAATATTAGTTTACTTTTATGAAACACAGATACCTCTATAAAGGAGTTGTATACCTATTGGATACTAGTATACCTCATCCTCAGTGGCCATGGATATGTGTCTAGCACTTCCTAAATGTATCCATAATTCAATCTGGAACTTGCATATTCTAAGTGTACTCATTATTCAGAAAGAGAACTTTCTATTAAACCACATATTAGATACATTTTAGATACTCCGCAATATATGTTTGTCACGTATTGGATAATAAAATGTAGCATTTGTAGTATAAATTATATTTATAATTGTAAGGAAAAGCTTAACAGTTAGGGTTTAAAATAGTTGGACCTTCTTAGAGAAGAAGAATGGAGATATAAATTTAGTTCAAAGTTTATGTCCATGTAACTTATTGTATTTTTTTTTTTTTTTTTGGATAAGTAATGTGTTTTTTTATATTATAAGATAGAAACACAGAATATTGATAGATTCATAAAATTGTGTCCGTTATACTGCTGGGGATTATTATTGGATCTGTTTGGGGTCTAGTGGATTATGCCCAGGTCCTCCAGAGGCTTGTTGGAGGCTTGGAGAGGTTGTAGAGTGGGGGCCCAAGCCCGTGATTATTGAAGGGTAACGCCTTTGTGCATTTGGTGGTGTCTATGGCAAGAAAGAAATAGTATATCTTTTGAAGGAAAGGAGACTCCTATTGGAATGCTGAAATTCTCCATTATTAGTGCTCTTTTTTGTTGGGTTCTAGGGAGAAATTGCAACTCCATGATGGAGATTGTTGATATCTTGACTCTTTGACAGTTTAGAGGCCCTATTTGGTGGCCTTGTGTAGCTTTTGAGGGATGCGTTCCCCTTTTGAACACTTTTTTATACACGTACTTGTCAAAAAAAAAAAAAAAAATTGATAAATTGTTGCTTTGGGTGATAGATGGCACCTAGGAAAAAAGAAAAAAAGTGTCTTATATAATTGAAGTATTAAATACATATTCAATTTTTGTTGTTTTGTTTACATGTTCCTTTTCTTTCAAATTGACATGCCGAAATGCATTATGCATAGCTGCACCTTATTACTTGCTATTTGAAAAATAAATATATAATTTTCTCTGATCTAATAAGTGGTTGCCATTACAAAATGAAGTTTAGTGATACATTCTTTACTCTCTGATTTTTTGGATTGACCATATGTTTATTCTATATTTGCTTATGGATCCCAATTCTTGAAAAAATGGCTAGGTCTGGTTAAAAGTTTAAATCCTTTTTGTTACTTCCAGGAATCTCTCAACTTCTGCCCTTATGGAAAGAATTCCAAGCAGATGGCCGCGCCCTGTATGGCATGCCCCGTGGAAAAACTACAGGGTAAGAACCTTTTCCTTTTCCCTCATTGCAGTGGATGGGAAGTTGGTGGTGGATATATATATATATATATATATATTGGAGTTCTTGTCATTGTTTATCCAACTACAAATATATGTTGTTTTACCAGTCAGGAAAAATCAATGCTGAGATTGACTCATATTATATATGAACATATACTGATTTACACTAGCAACAATGAGAGGCTTCAGTAATAATATTTCATTAGAACTTAGTTATAACTGGCTTATGTGACGTAAGGACTTGCCATTATATATTTATTGATAGTTGCTCCCTTTATTCCAAATTTTTTTTCCAACTGTTTAAGATGAGCATTTATTACATTCAAACTCAAATAGAAAGCACGATTAATCAAAGCTGACCCTCCAATTCGAAAAGGATAATTTTGTAGATTTATAACATTTCATATATTGGCTTTTCAAATTGAACATCTATATTGGGGTATTCAAACAAGGAAAATATAAATCAACAAATTTGGAAGGAGGGAGTATTGGTTTCTCTATTGGATAGGATAATGTCTTTTAACTTATCTTTTTTCATACTCTTCTGAACAGAGAATATATTAGCTATTCTTGCATCATATTAACCAGTTGTATTTTTGACAAAGGTATATAAGAGCTATATTGAGGGATTCGTGCTCTATCAGATACATCCATGGTGAAATAACTAAGGGCCTACTTGGTTTGTCACTCATAAAACAGTTTACTATTTTCAGAGAACTGAAAATCAGAAATCTGTACAAAAACTCTGCGTAGTTTTCTGAAATCTGTTTTCTGATCAGTTATAAAATTTTCTGATTTCAGAGAACTGTCTTTCATAGTTTACCCGAAAACAGTTTTCTAATTTCTGAGTTCTTGAGAACTGTTTTTAAAGTGACCAACCAAGCAGGCCCTAACGATATAGCAAATATAATTACATAGTGCATACATGTATGCACTACTCTGAATTTGTTTGTGACCTACGCACAACTCTGAATTTTTCTGTGACCCTGTTGGTTCTTCCATCTTGTGTTTGTATATTTGTGATGAAACCTCCTGGAAACTAAATCTCTTGTTGATGACTTATCTGCTTTACCATTTACTAATTGAGCTGCATGTGTTTCTGTTTTCAATCTTGATTACCAACTTTATATGTTTTCTAACATTATTAATGTCAAACTTGTGTAGGTTATTAGTGGCCATCTGGGATGGGTGAGATCTATAGCGTTCGATCCAAGTAATGAATGGTTTTGCACAGGTTCTGCAGATCGAACAATCAAGGTAAGAAGTTTCAAGCTTGTTTCTGCAGATGACTGCTTAAGATTTATCTCTCCCATTGAGTTGATCTTATGGTTTTGTAATATATTTATGAGCTTTTGATAATAAAATTTAGCAAATTGTGAAGCACTGCACTGTTATGTGGAGATTAAAGATTTGCAAGTATTCAAGTTATCTGAAGTGTGGCGGATTCTTCCCTGAAAACAGTGACAAGACAGCAAAACTGCAATGAGCCTGCTAATTAGGAATTACAACCATAGTTACAAATTCTCTATCACTATTTAGACAAATTATATTTTATTCTGGAGCCTGAATTGAGTTGGAGGAGAAAAAAATTTGGAGTTGATATCTTCGAAAAATAAGGAGGATTAGTTATTCTAATTACATATCATGACACATTCACGATGAGGTTCAGTAGTGTATATTGGTCAGTTTAATTGATGAAATCAAACCAGGGGTATGGTAATTAAAAGTTTGGAGAGAAATTATAGTCTAGTGAGGTTTTGAAAGAAATAGTGACTTTGAGTGTCACATATCCAGAGTCATTAATGGTTAGTGATGATTGAAGGTCAAGGGATACGAAAGAGTGAAAAGTTTTCCCACCCAGGCTTGACTATTGTGATTTATGTGTATGATATATACTTATGAATTTGAAAGGAATATTATAAAGTACTTGTAAGACCGTTTAACTGGGACACAATGTTGGGCATTACTGTATCTTCATAAACTCAAGTATTTCCGAAATGGGGATGTTGAGAAAGAGTCTAATAGCAGCAGCACCAATTGGAGATGAAATGAAGGAAAACTGATTAAGATGGTGTAGCCATGTGCAACAAAGATGAATCAATATTCAATACATTGGCAAGGAAAGTGAGATGGTCTATGTTGAACTGCTAAGGAAGCAGGAAAGACCAAACTTAATGTGGTTAAATTACTTCTCAATAATAATAATAATAATAATGTAATTAAATAAAGGTGAAAAACACGACAGCATGTTGCTTTAACAAATTGACAGCCTTTGGACAAAGCAGAATGATGAAAGAGGATTCACACAACCAACCATCCCAACCCCTAATAATTGGGACGAGGCACAGTTGAGTCTAGTTGAGTTAAGTTAGCCCGCCATGTAGAAGACACTAAAAAGGTCAAACGGAAAAGAAATAAATCTAAGAATAAGATGAACTGACAAGAAGTAGTTCAAAAAATGAATTGGAACCAAATAGTTTTGTTAAAATTGACTTCTAAATTTCATGATTGTGCCATAACTTATGGCAGTAAATATCGGTGCTGAACCTCATGTTGAGAGAATTTAATCTGCATGTGATGATATTGATATGATCATTAGAAGACCTTGCCAAAGAAGTGAAATTACATAGTTGAAAATAGGAAACTTTTAATGGAACATTTTGGTAAATGATTGGAGAGGGAAAAAAAAATGAAAATCTTAGTGGAAGCTGTTAACAAATAATGACACAAAAACTTGATAATTGGATCATAAGGTGAGTATTCATCAGTAAGATAGCATCCTCACACCTACAGAGTCAACCATGTAGAAGACTAACTTCAAGCGCAAAATTCTTTCAAGAATATATTTATTTTTGATAAGTTAAGATTCATTGAAAAGCACTCAAAAGAGGGGAAAATACATTGTGGAACTATTTTTTTGATGTTTAGGCACAAGTGATACTCAGTTCGAATGTAAAAAGTTATTCTATCCTAAGTTTGTATGTCTTAACCAACTTGGATACTATCTTAACTAAATACATTGGTTAAGAGAGTGAGGGGCACAACAGGTAAGAAGATAGTAAACCAAGGTTGAAATGCCCTTGATCTTATGATCTCTAACAATACTTTATACCTAAAACTTACAGTTTACAACTATGTTCTTCAATGAACTGTAGATTGATATAGTGCCTTCAATTTTTATTTATTTATTATTTTGGTGGATTAGTAATAATTTTAAATCTTTTTTTCCCCTTTAAAAAACCTGATGATCTTGATCAGTATAAATATGTTAATGTATGATTTATATTTTCTTCCATGCCATAGGAACCATTTATAGAACCCATCAACAATTTCTAAAATAGATTGAGGTTTTTCTGGACCAGCTACTGAAGAATTTTTTTTCCTTCTTTTGTGGTTGACAAGATATGGGACGTAGGTAGTGGACAGCTAAAGCTCACACTAACTGGGCACATCGAACAAGTACGAGGTATATTTCTTTTTAGTTATTGGTGTTGTAATTTATACCGTTGGCTAATCATGTTGTAGAAAGTGACTGTGTACTTCAGGCATTAGAATGGTAAAATTATATGTTTTTCTTTACAGGGCTTGCTGTTAGCAACAAACACACATATATGTTCTCTGCTGGTGATGACAAACAAGTGAAATGCTGGGACCTTGAACAAAATAAGGTTGGTAAATGACTGCTTGAAAGCTGTTTTAGTGTAAAAATTGTGTTTGAACATATAAGTTTTCTTATTTTTCTTTGTTTTTGTTCTTTTAGGTTATTCGTTCGTATCATGGTCATTTAAGTGGTGTTTATTGCTTGGCTCTTCATCCCACTATCGACATTCTTCTTACTGGAGGTCGTGATTCTGTCTGCCGGGTATGAAATTTGTCATCGTAAAGAGAAAACACATCCTGTATTTTTTACTCTTTTAGTCTTTCAAGCTACTTGTTAGAGTGTGTTCTATATTTTGCTGACTTTAGCATAGAAGGATGATCTTAATAAAACTGCACTTTTCAGGTCTGGGATATCCGTAGCAAGATGCAAATTCATGCACTCTCCGGGCATGACAACACAGTTTGCTCAGTTTTCACTCGGCCTACGGTAAGCATTCTTTTAGGCAATGTGATAAATGATGTTTAACTCATACTATGCTTTACTTAGTATCTTTTCTTTTTTTCTACACGGTTGTCTGCAGAGTAAGGACAGTACTGCCAATGAGTTTAGCAACTTAATATTTATGTTCTCATTTAATGAACATGTTATTAGGAATTTCCTCTTGGGGATTATCTTAAGTTTAATTCTGATATGGATCTACTGTACATAGAGTAAAAAGGAGAAGGCAGGCCCATTTAACTGTCCCAAGAAGATGGGATTAAGGTTTCTTGAGGTGCTGAGTAGGGAGAAATAATGATTGGGACTACTGTGGGCCCATGGGCATTAAATATTTTCCCCCTTCTATGTACTATGAGATTAAGCAAAAATGGTTTCATGGTTATTACTCATTGTTTTTTTCCCCTCCAATATGTCCATACGTTATTTCTGAAATGAAATTGCCTACAACTTGAATTATGAGAAGCTTCTTACTATAAAAACTATAAACAAACAAACAAAATCAATAACCGGGTAGTTTAAAAATTAAAATATGCAATGTTATTTCCTAAGAAACATTCTGATGAAGATTGCTTTTAAGTGTGGCTACTACCCACCATAACATGGTGATGGAAGTGCCAGCGTGGAATCTAAAAGTAGGGGTGTGGTTAAGGCTTAAAAACTTCAAATGAGTCTTGTTTGGAAAAACCATTGGGATTGCAAGTAGCTTTGTTGCTTCATGAAACTTACACATCCTTGGAAAAATTAATTCTTCTCTATACTTAAAATAATGTTTTACTTTTTTATTGAATCGAGGAAAGGGCTTGGATTATTCTCTTTTATCAACATGGACACACGGTTTTATAACATCCAAAATTCAAAATGCACTATAACTAAGGAAAGCGTGTTTGATCTCCAACACGTGTGAGGTGTCTGACATGACAAATATAAATTAATAATAATCTTCTTATTTTGTTTGATCCAGAAAAAAAAAAACAAAAAAAACAAATATTGTTATTTAGCTCATACAATTCATCTATCTTCTCATTCCTCTTTATGTTTTTTAGCATCATATCAAAGCTAATTGTAGAACTCTGTTTCCAGGATCCACAAGTCGTCACTGGTTCCCATGACACTACTATAAAATTCTGGGATCTTAGATATGGTAATTAATTTCTTGATTATTTTATTATTATTATTATTATTATTATTGTTTTGTTTCCATAGTACTTTGTGCATTTCGCTTTCGCTTTTAATGATATCAATTGTCATGTCTGTCAGGTAAAACAATGGCAACACTCACACACCATAAGAAATCTGTGCGAGCAATGGCTCAGCATCCTAAGGAGTATTTACTTGCCTTTTGTATTCTGTTCTTTGTAAAAGAATGGAGTATGGTGAATTTTCAATTAGTCCCATTAATATTTAACTCTTCTTCCATCTTGAAATTAATTTTATCTTGTGATGTTGCAGGAATTGTTTTGCTTCTGCGTCAGCTGACAACATAAAAAAATTCAACCTTCCAAAAGGAGAATTTGTGCACAACATGCTGTGAGTTTCTCAGTAATTCTTGTTGGGGAATGCTACATCTACAGTCTGCGCTTCTTTAATATATTTGAACCATAGCCTTTTTTGCTTTTCATGACGAATAAGACTATGATAGATGACTGACTTAGACACAGTGCATATGAATATGGATTGGGATCACATACTCAAATTCACAATAGGGAATAAAGAAAAAGGAATCCCTTGCAAGTGAAAACCAAAAGTTTTGTACTTTCAGTTAGGTTGGTAACAACATTGAGGTAAATATGGTCAAACTTGTCAATATGTATGAAAATAAAAGCAAAACTAGGAAATGGTGATTGACTTGGTTCATCTCCTAAAAATTGCAAAAATTTCATCTCAAATGAGTAGAAGGTGATAGTAATGTGGGAGGATACATGTGTGGTTGAAAGCCTGTCAAGGAAGAAATGACATGCTGGTCTTAATGGTACAAGATGCGCTCAAAGCTTTTGGATCAAGGGGTGGTTCCACAAAATGAGTGGGGGGATCAAGTTAATAACATACTACGTCAGTTTGCTTATTGTGCGTAGCCTATATCTTTACTGTTTCCGGATTATTTTTGTTCTTTATAACTTATTTTATTATTATTTTTCTTCTTTAAATAAGGACAAATATTCCTAACAAGACTTGACGACACTTCCGCCGATTTAGACTCCTGTATACACACACCATGCGCATTACAATATCTGATAGCTAGTTTTACCACCTTCCTTTAGTCCTGATTATTGAGCACCCCCGGATATTCCATGACACCATTGTCAACCAAAACAGTTTAAGATTTTAATTACTCTAAATCAGTGCCAAATAAAGCCAAAATACTCGGACTGATTTAGAGTGAAGGCATTTTATGATTTTAATCATTGAACCCATGCCTCTAATATATTTGACAGTAGGGATGGCTCCTTATTTTGCTACTAACTGCTGTGCATGAATGTGCTAATGTAAAACAATGTACTCATTCGTGGAAGTGAAAGCACCCTTGTTTTATATTCTTTAAGTTCCTCGCTATTATTATTTTTAGTTGTTTGTCTAGTCTGATAATTTACGCTGATACTTGAATTGTCGGGGTTTCCTCATGCAGCTCTCAGCAGAAAACAATCATCAACACGATGGCAGTCAATGAAGAGGGTGTACTGGCTACAGCAGGTGAGAATGTAGTCCATTTTGGTTGAGACTAAATTTGATTGATCACATGTGAATGGATGTCCTTTGTTACATGGACTCGGGTTCGTGTGTCGAATACGGGTATGTATCCATGTGTCGGGCGTGTCAAATCTCCAAACAGAAGTACACACGGACAAGACTAAATATTCATTTTATTAATTATATTTTTTTATTTTTTAGAGTAAAGTAATGTTTTTATCTTATATAATGTTCAATATAGGCATTTAACTCATTTCAAAGTAATAATATAATATAATTGAGTGATTGGATATGCTTTTTAAATGCATGTCCAACCAAAAGTGTTGGACACATATCCCATACCCATGTCGGAGCAATGCGTCCGACACGGTACTTCACTACTTTTGAAGAGTCCATGTAATATAGATGATGTCACAAGTTTGATACTTCAATTCAGCTTGGAGCTTAGCTCAGATAAAGATGGTTGTATCAACTTTATCTTTATTTTTCCTCTGTTAGGTTTGGTTGTTTTTTCCCCTTTTTTCTCGTTTGGATGGGGTTTGGTATTTTGCTAGTTGTGCACGGGTTTAGTGGTAGAGCCCCCATTGCACATTCACCTTATAAACAGGGTTTATGTGAATAATTGTGAAACCTCTTATTTATTTTTCTTGTTGTTGAAGGTGACAATGGGAGTCTCTGGTTCTGGGATTGGAAGAGCGGTCACAATTTCCAGCAATCCCAAACAATTGTACAGCCGGGTGTGTATCTTGTGTACCTTTATTCCATTTATTGGGTTTTGATGTTTGTGTTGAAAGGAAAATCATGAACGTCGGGTGTATGTTTTCAGGCTCGCTCGATAGTGAAGCTGGCATATATGCGGTCTCCTATGATGTTACCGGTACAAGACTTATCACTTGTGAAGCCGATAAGACCATCAAGATGTGGAAAGAGGACGAAAATGCCACCCCAGAAACTCATCCAGTCAACTTCAAGCCGCCTAAAGATATTAGGCGGTTTTAGTCGTATGCTGATCAAAGTGTTCCCCGTAAAGCAGTTTCCCTTCTATGAAGAAGCAGCTTCATGAATAGCTTTGTGATATGTTTTAACTTAATGCTAATTTTCTAAATGTGGGTATTTTTGCAAAAAAATGAATTAGAAAAGTGAGTTGCGATAAAATGATCTAGAAAAGCTTTGTGATATGTAACTGGAAGTTAATTATCTAAAATGACAAATTTTATAACACTTTTTTTTTTTTTTTTTAACTTGGCTCTTCTCCTTAAATATGGAATATCAACTATTTACCAAATTACTTTACTATGCCCTACTAACTTGGAATGTATGTGTCCTTTTTATTAATGTGTATAATGAGAGTATGAGGATAAAAAAATATATAAAATTTTTCCAAATTTTTTTTTTAACCAAACAATGAAATGTGTAATCTCAAAAAATAGTGATACAAAAATTTTTCTTTCCTTCTAACCAAACAATGAAATATTTTCGGTCAAAACCAATATCAATCACGAGAGTGTGCTCTTGACCTCCTCCTTCCTATTTTTAACTGATAATTATGGTTCAATTCTTTTATTTAATTTGGTCTTACTAAAATTCATATTATTTTTTACATCTAGCACTTATATCTTAGTTTCCCGGACGTTATTTAATTTAAGTAACTTTCAATTTATCCTTGTAAAGAACATGACAGTACTTTTGTACCTTTTTTTATTTTGTCTTTTATTGCATTTTCTACTGTTTTGCTTCCTTTTACTAAATTTGTCCCTCCTTTCAATTATAATCAAAGTACGTAATTATTAAGTTTCATACTTGAAGAAAAAAATATTTTCACAGTAAGTATCAATTGACATTTTTAACACTTTAGATTTGCAAGCAATAGTTTTTTTTTTTTTTTTTTTTTAAGTAATCATATCACTTATTGTTTACTTTTTTTCAAAAAAGTATTCTAAATTAGACAGGAATATTAGAACCCCACTTACATTTTCAACTACAAAATAAAGATCTATGTATAAAAAAACATTTTTATCAATAGAACTGTTAAAAAAATGCATTAAGTAAAAACCATGTTGAGATGTTTGGTGATGCATTATAATAAGTAGTTTTCATAATAAAATTATTTTTTAATTTATTTTGTAATAATATTATTTTAAATATTTTTATTGCTAATTTTACAATAATATCCTTTAATTAAGGAATGAGTGTAATTATCTTTATAAAAAATAAAAAAGACATAATTGACTAATGAAAAGAGTTACCTAAAATGTTTAACCTTTACTCCGAATGCAGATTTAAAAGTTCTAAATTTTAGCATAATTGACTAATTAAAAAGAGTTACTTAAAATATTCAATATCTATTCCGAATGCAGTTTTAAAAGTTTCAAATTTTAGCTTCATTCAAATTTGGTAATCATTAAAAGTTATTCAAAATAAAAGTGTTTTTAAGTAGCACAGAAACAAATCCCAAACCAGCTCTAACTATATGTTTACCTTGAATTAAATATTTTTTTAGTGTAATTGTAAAATTTCAAATTTTAGCTTCATTAAAATTTTGTAATCATTAAAAGTTTTTAAAAATAAAAGTACTTTTAAATAGCATAGAAGCAAATCCCAAACGCTCTAACTATGTTTATGTTGAATTAATTTTTATTTATTTATTATTATTATTTTTTTTTAAAAAAAGGTATCTTCTTACAATTCGTGATAGGATTGAATTAAAAAAAAAAAACAAAAAACAAAATAAATTTTGAGACAATTGCTTTGGGTGAATGTAGATTTTAAGAGAAATTTGTGTAAATAGAATAATCTTATATCCAATAGCAGAAAATTGTTGCCTAAATTCGACCAACTTTTTTTCTTCTAATTCTCACTTGAAGCCCATTGCTTCTCCTTTAAAACGTAAAAATGGATCAGTGTGTGATTTGTAAAATTCCCAGGTATTAGATTTAAATTGTACAAAGTTTTAGTGTTAAATAAAAAATAAAAAAAAAATACGAATTTCTTGCTCCCCAAGTTAAAAAATAAAATAAATAAAGAATTTTGAGAAGAAAAAAAAAGGGGTATATATCATGCGGTGTAATTTTCTTGCTCCCAAGTTCAAATAAAAAAAATAAAATAAAATAAATAAAGATTTTTCGGACAAAAGGTGGAATATATAAATTTGTTTCCACCCTTTGCGCTACAGTATTTTACACACACACAATTCGTTGCCCCATATGTGATATATATTTTATTAATTACTGACTAGGTAAATAGATATTAAATTAATATTATTTATTTTTTATAAATTTATAAATTATTTTTTTAATAATTAATTATTAGGAGAGTGTTTTCCTATTTATTTCGTACTAGTAGGATTAGAATTACTAAAAAGGAAAATCGCCCCTATAAAAGTGCATTCACATATATATACCATTCAGTTTCCATCGCCGCCGTTCAGATTGTTCTAAAAATCAAAGCCCATACCTTTCAGTTTCCATCGCCGGCCGTTCCAGTTCCGGTTCGCCGTTCGCCGTTCGCAAGCTTCAGCCGCCGGGCCGCTGTCTCTCAACTCTCAAGCTTGCTCCCCTCTCTCTCTGCAACTGCTAACTTGTATGGGACACTATAGTGTGTGTATGTGTGTGTATATATATATGCCATTATAGACCTCTGTTATTATATACGTGTCAATACATGAACCCTTTTAATGGGACACTCTCTAAACATAGTTACTAAGGAATCATTCTTTTCTTAAAAATCCCTTTCGTTTTGGCTTTACATTAATGAAATTGTAATATAATAAGGTTTTCAGTATTAAAAGGGGAAAAGAAATTTAATACAAGAACTACAAGGCTTATTATATGCCAATTACAGATCACCCATGTATTGATTTTAAAAAACAAGACTTACCCTGTGCAAATTTAGAATCTTATACAAAAACTAGAGAGTGTGTGTATATATAAGCCCTTTTAATAGGACACACTCAAATTTTTTTCTTAATAATAATGGTGGTATTCTAAATTTTCAAATGAGTTTTTGTTTTACTATGGATTTAAGCTATGGCAACTTACCTGTCCTGCTTGCAATTGCTGACCAACTTAGTTACTAAGGAGTCTTGTTTGCATAAAAACCCCTTTCGTTTTCGCTTTACATTAATGAAATTGAACTCGAAGTGAATAATATAATAAATGTTTCAGTATTAAAGATTGGGTTAGCTTAAATTGTATACGAAGTAATTAAAACCAGTGATTTAAAACTATTTGGTATAAGGACAATTTTATTTTTTTAATTGAATTGTATAATTTATTGGCCTTTACATATTTCTGTCACCATGAACAAACACCTTCTTATTTCGGGATTTTTTGAATGACAATACTTGCTTATATAGGAGTGGAAAGTAAACAAAGCAACAATGTCTGAGAAAGGAGGGTTGATGGAGCAGGACTTAAGCAAGCTGGATGTAACACAGTTACATCCACTCTCACCTGAAGTTATTTCTCGTCAGGCTACAATAAATATTGGTAATCATCGTTACTACGTATGAATGTGTGAACCCCTTTTAGATGGGGTGTGATTTCTAATCCTTAATCCTATCGTTGACACTAATACATTGGACCTAATTATCTTTTATCAGGCACTATTGGTCACGTGGCACATGGTAAATCGACGCTGGTGAAAGCGATATCTGGCATCCAGGTGACTGCTTTTCTAGCTTACTTCTGATACTGCTTGTGTGCCATTTTTTTTTTTTTTTTTACAACTAAAATGTTGCTGTCGTCCTTAATGGTAATTTTAGCTTCTTAATTTCTATTTCTAAGGGGCTGAAATTAGTAGACTTATACTTGTGTGACTTTAACTATTTCCTGTGATATTATGACTGTCAACCAAGGGAAGAAAGTTTATTTCTTTTCTAATTCAGCATATATTTGCTTTGCTCTAGTGTTAAAAGTTCATTAAATTAATGTTTTACTAGCTATTGCACAAGAAATATGCACAGAATTAGAACATAGTATGTTTAACCTAGCTCCATTTGTTTTTTTACAAATGTTTACGTGCATATATTGTAGAAGTGGCTCTTATGGTTTGACATTAATTTGCAGACAGTTCGTTTTAAAAATGAACTTGAGCGGAACATTACTATTAAGCTTGGATATGCAAATGCAAAGATATACAAATGTGAAGATGAACAGTGCCCTCGACCTATGTGCTACAAGTATGTTCGTGTTTAAGAAATGTAATGATTACTTAACATCGTACTTTGCAACTTTAGTCTAATGTACGTAAAAAAATATCATCTGCAGGGCATATGGAAGTGCAACAGAAGATAGTCCCTTCTGTGATGTGCCTGGATTCGAAAAGTGTAGGATGAAACTACTCAGACATATATCTTTTGTCGATTGCCCGGTAATAAGCTATCCCATCCCGAAGTACTTTTCCCAATATTATCTTTGGACTTGATCTATATACATGAAAGTAACTTTAGAGCTACATCCAAACTTGTGAAAAAGGCTTATTGTAGAAAAAAATGAGAGTAGGAATTTCTTTAAAAAAAAAAAAAAAAAAAAAAAAACTGTAGACATTGTAGGTTAATCTAACTTTTAACTACTTGATGTTTTTTTCCTTTATTTCCTACAGGGACACGACATTCTCATGGCTACTATGCTCAATGGTGCTGCAATTATGGATGGAGCTTTACTTCTCATAGCTGCCAATGAGGATTGCCCCCAACCTCAAACTGCCGAGCATCTCGTTGCTGTTGAAATTATAGGACTTAAACATATTATTATCGTCCAAAATAAAGTTGATCTGGTTCCGCAACATGTATCCATCCATCAGAAGGAAGAGATTCAAAAATTTGTCCAGGTCTGTACGGTTTGTCTTTGAATGTCATTCATTTCCTGCTTTTTAAATTTTTAGTATTGAAATAATGTGGGGTTTTCACATTGCAGAGAACTGTTGCTGAAGGTGCACCGGTGGTTCCAATTTCTGCTCAGCTGAAGTATAATGTTGACGTTGTGTGCGAGTATATTGTGAAAAAGATACCTGTTCCGGAAAGGAATTTTGTCTCACCGCCGCATATGATTGTAATCCGATCCTTTGACGTCAACAAGCCTGGTTCCGAGGTTGAGGAAATAAAAGGCGGTGTTGCTGGTGGAAGCATCCTCAGGGTATATGCTTCTTCCTTGTTACTCTAATTAAAGACACATAGAGACATGTAGAATAATACTGAAGTAGCCGAACAATATCAAATCAAAGCCTTCAGTACAAACTGC